GACAGCAATGGGTCCCCACAGGCATGCCAGGACACTGCAGCTGGGGCTGGGTCCGCTCTGCCATCCCCATCACCGCTGCATCCCCCTCCCAGCATCCTGGAAGTGCGGGTGCTGGAGATGGAGACGAAGCAGCAGGCGGAGCTGGCAGGGGCCCACCTGGAGAAGGAGAAGCTGCAGCGGCTGCTGAGCCAGCAGAGGGGCACCATCGAGGAGCTGGAAAAGACGCTGCTGGCTGCCAGTGCCAACACCAGCCTGCTCCAGCGCCAGCAGCTCCAGCTCCTCCAGTCCGTGCAGAGCCTGGTGCGCCTCGTCTCCCAGGGCAGAGGTGAGCAGGGTGTAGGGCAGGGTGTGGGCAGGGTGCAGGCAGTGGGAGAACACCTTCCACTCTCAGGAGGGCGCTCAGCTCAGCTGGAGTGATTTCACCCCAAGAATCATAGAATTACAGAATGGTTTGGTTTGGGTTGGAAAGGACCTTAAAGCTCATCTTGTTCCATGGGCAGGGACATCTTCCACTAGAAAATGAGCCACTCACTGCATCCAGTTAGCAGCTTGGAGCCCTCAGGGGGAGTGTCCATGTCCTGACTCCCTCCCCAGCCATGGAAAACCCCCAGGGTTAGGCTGGCAGCAGAGCCGGTGGCACAGCTGCCTTGCCCAGCCCTCGGGAGATGGCACAGAAGGAAAAAAAATAGTCTGTGAGCACAAAGGCATCCAAAGGAAGAGGGAAGAGATGCAAAACCAGGCAGGGCTGTGGGGCTGGCAGGGCTTCTGCCATCTCACTGTCCCTTCTGCCACAGCCATGTCAGCTGGGCAGGAGCAGCAGTTCCAGGACTGTGCTGAGGTGCGCCGGGCAGGCATCCGCACCAGCGGCGTGTACACCCTGCACATCGCCAACCTCAGTGAGCCCAAAAAGGTGAGCATAGCCTGGGGAGGGCACCCCTGCAGCACCCCGGGGTGCTGCCCACCCCAGTGCCACCCAGTGCACACCAGCTCCAGACCACGGTGGGTTGTGGCACATCCCAGGGCAGTTCTCCCCACACCATCCGGCCCCAGGGGCTGTTCAGGGCTGAAGGCAGCACCCACCCAGTACAGGCAAAGCTGGTACAGCCTTCAGGATGGAGGGATAAAATCGATTTTAAAAGCAACCTGACCTGTGAACATCATGCCCCAGCCCCTGCCCACAGCCATGGAGGGAGGAGTGACCCCCCAGCCAGGCACCGGGCACAGTATACACCTGACAGCCCCTCAACAAGCCCTGGCACCCATGGAGTGCCCACACCAAGCTGCCCAGCCCACTGGGGGATGCCCCTGACTGCCCACTCCAAGCCATCCCCAGCCCGTCCCCCTCTCCCCTCTACAGGCCTACTGTGACATGGAGACGGACCAAGGGGGCTGGACTGTCATCCAGCTTCGTGCCAATGGCAGCCTCAGCTTCCAGAGGAGCTGGAGGGAGTACAAGCAGGTCTGTGCCCTCCTGGGGACGGGGGCACCCTGGGGGCACCCCGGGCACCCTGCACTCACCCATCCTGCTGTTCCCCAGGGCTTTGGGGATGCAGCAGGGGAGTACTGGCTGGGTAACGAGGCCGTGCACCTGCTGACGAGCCGGGTGCCCTACGCCCTGCGAGTGGAGCTGCAGGACTGGGAGGGCGGGCAGGTGTATGCCCAGTACGGGAAATTCCAGCTGGGAAGTGAGCAGCAACTGTACAGGTAGGAGAGAGGCACTGTAAAAGCAGCCACCCCACACTCTTTCTTCTCTTCCTGGACTCCTGAGAAGTGGATTTTTAATGTATAGAATTGCATCAAGGCAGTGGGATTTGCCATCCCAGCGGGACTTCCTATCCCGGGAAACTGCAGGGGCACTTGCACTGCAGCTCGCTGCTTGGGCAAGTGGGGTCACACAGCCATGGTCACCATGCACTCCTGGGGGTGCCAGGCATCCCCAGGCTGCCCATGTCTGGGGAGGGATGCTGTGCTAATGATGCCCAGCTTGCCATGACTGTGTGCTCCTGGCCACGGGCAGGAGGGGGGCTGGCAGCTGGGGGCTTCCCTGCTGGGCTGGAAGTGGGACCAGACCCTGGAGATCTCCTGCACCATCCATCCCATGCACACACCGAGCTGGCCCCCCAGTGAAGGGGACTGGAGGAGATTTGGAGGGGGGTGCTCTCTGCCCCAGCATAGCACAGCCTCCACCCTTGGGGACCCCACCAAGCTGGATGTGCAGGATCTCTGCCTGCATCCGTCCATGCTGTGGCATCCACGGCCTCCCTGAGCAGGGTTGGGGGGCTCTGTGACCCCCCAGCAGCCGGCAGTGACGGTGACTGTGCTCCTGCTGGGCGCAGGCTGTCGCTGCAGGATTACAGTGGCACTGCCGGGCAGCAGAGTGGCCTGGCCCTGCAGGGCACCCACTTCAGCACCCGCGACGCCGACAACGACAACTGCCTCTGCAAGTGCGCCCAGATGCTCTCGGGAGGTGAGTGGAGCAGGGGGGGACCCCCACGCAGCACCCCCGGGTGCCCACTCACGGTGCCACCCTCCTGCCCCGCTCCCTCCCTCCCCCCAGGATGGTGGTTCGACGCCTGTGGCCTCTCCAACCTGAACGGCATCTACTACCCAGCCCGCAACAACATCCGCAAGCTCAACGGCATCCGCTGGCACCACTTCCAGGGGCCCAGCTACTCCCTGAAGGGCACTCGCATGATGATCCGACCCACCAGCTTCTGATGCGCCAGCAGTCGGGGCGGCACTGAGAGCGGTGCCAGCACAGAGGGAGAAGTCCAGGACAAGGGATGGTTGAGGGAGATTGAGGACCCCCTCCCCCGCCACCAGCCACTGCAGGGAACCTTTTCCACCATTTTTTTTTTTTTTTCACTCTTGTTTATCCCATTTTCCAGGTGCCTGCAGTGTCACCATGGCCGTGCCGGAGGGACTGCGGGCAGGGGTGAGGGGTGCTGGTGCTGCAAGAGCTGGCCTGGGGGCCCTGCCTTGAGACAAAGCCAGCCCAGCTGAAGTGTGGCTCTGGCACAGGGAAACCTCCCGATCCCACCTCAGCTTCTCTCCACAGATTTCTGCTGGGACTCAGGGGGCTTCCCTGGGGACCTGTGTCCAAGACCCCCCACCCAGTGACGACAGCCTCTGGGACCACTGTGCATTCAGATGGGCTCCAAGGCATGGTGGGGGCTTCGCCTTTTCACTAGTTTTGGGCATTGTAAAGCCTGCACCATCCCACTTTCCTGCAGGATTAGAGGAGCTGGGTGGGACAGGGATCCTCACAAGTACTGGGGCTGGTGGCATTCTTCCATCCTCTTCTGCCCAGGCACAGCCATGAAGGGAGACATAGGCTGATCCCTTCCACATGTGGCTCAAGCCCCTGTCTTCCTGCATGGCAGGACAGGCACTGCTCCTCACAGGATGGGGCCGGCCACCAGAGAGGACAAAAAGAGCAGGGGGTGCCTGTGGGGACCCTCTGGGGGCCCAGTCCTGGGATGGCTGATAGCCCAGTGCTGGAAGGCACTTGCTGGGAGCAGACACTGAGCTGGCAGGGGGCTGGCAGAGCCCCAGGATAGCCAGGATCGGTCTGGAGGTCGTGGGTGGGGAGGGGGCTGCCGTTTAAGATGGGTCTGGGGGTGGGAAATGGTGGGTGCTGGCACTGGCACTGGCACCGGCTGTGCACACAGCAGCGGGGGGGCTCCTGCTGCCTCCCCTCATCTCTGTCCCGAGGCACCCGCTAATTAACACTGATTAAAGCACGTGACATCGTTGGCGCTTCCAGAAGATGCTCATCAGTGGGGAATAATTAAAAAATGGAAAACACAGGGGGCGGTGCTGCCGGTTTTCCTTCTGTCCTGGCTGGCTGCCTGCACCTCCTGCCTGCGCATGGGGCACCCATGGGAGATCTCGGCTCGGGGGGGGGGGGTGGTGACAGTGATGGGCATTTCCCCTCCTCCCTGGAATAACCGACGGGCTCAGCTGCACTCCCCATGAAACTGGAGCCACCGGGAGGCAGCTGCCAGGGAAAGCGATAGGGAAAAGGGAGCTAACCTGCTGTCCCCAGCAGGGACAGGAGACAGGGGGGCATTCCAGGGGGGCACATGCTCCTGGACACGTCTGTGCCGGGGTTTTGTGCTGGCAGTCCTAGTGAGTGCCAGGTCAGATGGAGACTCTTGCCTCGGGAACACGGCTGTCCGTGCATCTGCACTCACACAGAAATCACAGTCACAAACACGCGTGCACGTGGACAGGCACATACCCTTGGACATGCGTGCACAGGATCATGCTTGCACACATGAGCACACAGGGCTATGGACACCCACGTCAGGCCCTGGCCACCCGGGACACGGGACAGCAGAGCCACACCGAGGACAGGCAGTGTCTGGGGGACATGTGGCTGCTTGGCCCATGCCCCCCCCTGCTCCTTAGCCATGGCAGCAAATTTAGACCAAGCCCTGGGACACGCCAGGCTGAGGAATCCAGCAGCACAGCCGGTCCCAGCCACCAGCGGGGATCCGGTTCCCTCAGAGATTTCCCCAAGGGTGAAGGCTGTCCCCAGGCAGGTGCCTGGAGTCCCTTGCCCCCTCTGATTTCCGGGGTGTTTTCCCTAGGGAGACACCTGGTGCCCCATGTGCCATCATTAAGGATCCCCCGGGTATGTGTGTCTTCCCTAGAGCGCTTCATCAGCCTGACTCACAGCCAGATGCCATCCTATCACCGTGTCGTGTCACCATGTCCTGCCACAACATCCTGCCCTCCATATCCCCAACACCCAAACCTGCTGATACCCCAGCAGGAGCTGAATGAATCCTGCTCCACAGGCTGCAGATCTGGGTGGGCGCACACGGTGCAGGAGTTGGGCTGGGGTGGGAACTGCTTCTTCATGGGGTGCTGGGTGGAATCCCCAGTCAAGGGGGCCCAAGTGCTGCCCCAGCCACGCGGGGCTGCCCTGGGAGAACACACAGGCGCTTTTCATCTTCAAAGCACTCCCTGCACCAACTTTCATCCCAGCCCGACTAGGAGGTCTCCACTATCACCACCACCATCTCCCAGTCTCGGGGGAGCCAGGACCCAGCCAAGCTTTGCTGGAGAGACAGGAGGCAGGGGAGGGCTGCATGGCACAGAGGGGAATCCCACTGACTGGGGCTCTGCCGGGACCTGCCAGACCCAACCGCCGCCCTGCCGTGCCCGCCGGGCCCCGCGCTGGCACGTCACAGCACAGCACCCATCGCCCCTGCCAGCACCCACCCGCTCAGCACCCCCAATCCTGCAGATCCGCAGGCACACCAAGGGTCCCTGCCCCATCCTAACCTCCACCGCCTCAAGAGACAACGCACAGCCTCCAAAACACAGGCATTTAATAATAAACCTGGCTGCATCACCATTATTATTATTTACAGATGAAACATTGGGAAAACAGTAGAAAAGAGGAACTCTTGTCTTCATAAATACCAGGCCCAGCATGGTGTGGGCTGCACGCCCTCTGGCAGCCCAGGGGGGACACAGGCACCCACAGACACTCACACATGCACACACAGCCCTGGGTGGTTCCAAGCAGGGGGTCACCCTGAAGCACCCAGCTTCTCCCAGACCTTCAGCAATAAGACGGGGCCACCAGGATACAGTCCCACCCCAGACAGTGGGACTCCCTCAGTGGAGGCTGCACAGGGGCAGCTCCCTCCCCTGCTCCGTGCAGGGGGGAACCAGCCCCTTGCACCCCACCCATGGGTGTTGGTGAGGAGCGCAGCAGGCAGGAGCTGCCAGCAGTGCAGGCGGGGCAGCCACACATGGGGTTCCATGGGATTTGGGGACCAGCCACACAGCCAGGGACACACGTATCCTCTGCCTTCCCACGGGCTCGCAGGGGCCTGACTTTCCAGTGCTGGCACAGGGATCTGACGATGGATGCTCAGCCACCACATCAGGCCAGTGGCGCTGTGGCACAGGGGGGGTCGAGTTCAAGGGTCCTATCATAGCCAAGAGGTCCCTGCTCCTCCCAGGGCACAGCCTGGGCCCTGTCCCCATCCAACATTGCCTGCTTGCAAGCAACTCATCTCCGGTGCCCACCACGGCCCTGCTACACATCAGAGACCTGCTGGGGCTCCCTGGCCTGGCGCAGTCCGTAGAGCCACTTGATGACACGGGCGTTGCGCTCGATGACGGAGATGCCGTAGGGCACACGCTCGGCCGGTCGCCCCTCCGGTGTGGCGGCGCTGGGCGGTGAGCACCCGCCCTCCGAGCTGGCCGTGCTCACGCTGTGGAACTTGAGGGACACGATGTCGGAGCTGGCGCGGGCGAAGCGCTCGGCCCCCATGTCCTGCATCTCCTCGGGGTCGAGGCCGCAGTAGTTGAAGAAGCGCTCCAGGTCGGCGGTGGCCCGCGAGAGCCGGTCGCTCAGGTCCGACTTGGAGCGGTGCAGCAGCGGCTGCCGGCGGGCGCTCTCGGGGCGGGCGGGTGAGCTCCGGGACGGGGTCACAGGCAGCCCACCTGGGACGGGGGATGCGGGCACCGGTGTCACTGGGTTCCGTGGAGCTCCACAGGGACGGACGTCCACCCTCCGCACGGTCACGCTGCCGGGGGGCCTGGCCATGGTGGGGCTCTCCGGCGGCTTGCCAGGCCCCTCCGCTGCCGGCGCCTCTGCCCGCCACCTGCACTCCCTGCCCAGTGGGCTCTCGGCCTTAGGGAAGGGGCTGTCACAGAGGTTGATGAGGTTGTTGAGGATCTCCAGGTCAAGGGAGGCCTTCGGGCTGGCAGCCTCGGCGCGGCGCGGGCTCGCGGGTGCCCTGCGGCTGGGGGTGAGCACAGCCCGGCGCACCCCCGGCGTGAAGAGGGGCTGCTTGAGCAGCAGTGGCTTCACCGGCTCCTGCTTGGTGCTGGCGACCCGCTGACTCTTCACATACTTGGCCTTGTCGGCCTCCAGCCTCTCCACTGCGCTGGGCTTCGCGGCCCCTGCCTCGTTGTGCCGGCGGAAATATGCGGGGCCCTTGCGGAGGATGCGGACGGGCATGACCGAGGTGAAAGGCGCTGTCACCGTCACCCCCTTCATGGTGTCGCCGGCTTGCAGCGCCTCGACGGGCATCCTCCGTGCCGGCACCGGGATAGGGGGTGGGCGGCCGCCACGGGCAGCGAGGGGCTCTAGTGCCGTCGGCTGCGGAGAGGGACCGGAGTGAGCGCGGCGCCGATGCTGCCGATGCTGCTGATGCTGCCCCTGCCCGCGCCCCGGCCCCGCGGCAGACAAAGGCTGCCCGGGCTGTGCAGTGCTGCACTGGCTGCGCCGCCGGCCCCGGGCTGCCTATTTGAAGGCGGACACCACGCCTCCACCGCCGCCGAGCCTCCCCGACACGTCCCCCGGCCAATCCGCGCCGCACGCCTGCTTCAAACCGCACCGGGGCCAATAGGGCCGGCCCCGGCGAGGGGCACCCTGGGGAGCGAGCGGGGCGGGGAGAGCCCAGCACCCCTCACCGGTGCTCTGCCAGAATCGCTTGTGCCCGGGGATGCACCGCCTGCATCGAGAGGCGCACTGAATGTGCCCAGGGGGTGCATCACCCACATCAAGGGGTGCATTTCCTGCACCACAAATGCATCACCCACTCCCAGAGGAGCACTGATTTCTCCCAGGGGTGCATCGCCCGCTCCTAGGGGAGCACTGATTTCTTCCCGGGGTGCAGTCACCCACATCTTTGCATCACCCATGCCAAGGGGTGCATTGCCTACTCCCGTGCCCAGGGTTCCCTCACCCACCACCCTGCCAGGCTGGGGAATCAGTGCTCCACTCCCTCAGCTGTTCCTTCAGCTCTAGGCCCTCTTTGCAAACTCCGTGGCTGCTCTTGCAAGCTCCCAGGCTCACTGCTCCCATCCTGGAGCTCCTTGGAAAGCATGAGTGGGGGTTTCCACCAGTGTTTTCCCGGCCACAGTACGCTGGGAGCAGCGTGGGGCCCTGTGCACCCCGTGTCCTTGGGCCCCTGCCAACCCCAACGAGCGCAGCCGCTGCCACAACGGCCGTGCAGAGGCACCAGCCCGCCCACAGCAGGAAGGGGGGGAACACCCAAACCAGCCCTGCACCCCTCTGCAGCCCCCTGCCCAGGGGTAGGCACACCAGGAAGGGTCCCAGTACCCAAGGAAGCTCAGGCAATGGCAGAGCACGCGGGGGTACACATGGCTCAAACCTCCTCCCCCAACCCCCTTCCCAAGCTGCTCTGAGATCCCCCCCCCCCCGGTGGCCCTGATTTGGGGCACTGGTGAGCCCCGAGGAGGTGGGACCAAGCCCCGGCACTCACCAGGAGCAGTGGTGGGCACGGTGGGGGCCAGTGGGCTGTGGTCCCACTCGTTCTCACGGCAGCCCCAAGCAGGCAGCTGTCACGTCACCCGCTCACCTCCCTGCACAAACTTCCTGGGTGCAGCCCAGAGCCTGTCTCAGCACTGGCTGCAGGCAGCAAGAGCCAGCCCCGGCACCCACAGCCCCGCCGAACCATGGCTGAGCCACAGCTGAGCCATGTCTGCACCCCCTGCCAGCCCAGGGGGGACAGTGTGTCGGCCCCAGTCCCCCCAGGATCTGCACCCCAGCGGGGTTCCTGCACAGCACACGGTGTGTCCGCCTGACACGCTGTGACAGGCGAGAGGCCTGGGGGAGGATGGCTGTCCCTGTCCTTGTCCTCATGCCCTGCCTGGGGGGACATGCTGCCTCCTGACCTGGAAAGTGTCTGCAGGGGGGCGGTCAGGCGTGGTGACAGCTGGGGACGGTCCCAGCACCGGCACAAATCTTCCTGCCTCCTCACTGGAGCAGCTTTCTGCACCCCTCTGCAGCACCCCTTGGGTCAGCGCTGCCCAGACACCATGCCAATGGCCAGCCCTGCTGCCCTCATACCTGTGCCAGCCACAGGGAGGGCTCCCTGGCTTAGCACAGGGTGCAAACGTGCCCCCTAAGCAAGGTGAAGGAGATAAATGTCCCCATGTCGAGCGCTGGAGCTCAGCTCAGTGCCAGACACTCAGCCCTGGGGCCAAGCCATGGCAGAGGTGGCTGTTGGGACACAGGGACAAGGACAGAGGGTCCCTCAGCGCAGTCACCTGTGTCTGGTGTGGGGTCCCCTCCCCAGCACGGACAGCCAGGTCAGGCACAACCTGCTGCTCCACATTCCTGTGGTGCTGAGCCGCTGTGCTGGCACAGCCACGCTGAGCCAGGCTGCACTGAGCCAAGGTGAGCCGAGTGGAGCCACCCTTCAACAGATCCCAAAACATGGCAACATTATCCCTGTGCCCCAATATCATCCCATGCCCCAAGCCCAGCCAGAGTGTGGGGATCTGAGTGCTGGGCAATACCCAGCATGGCCCCAGCTCCTGGCCCTCCTGGGGTGGGCAGCCCAGCCAGGCTCACTTGGCACACCGGGTCACCTCCTGCCTGGAGGAGCTGCTCCAGAGGGGTGCGGTTGTGACCCCCCCCCTCACCAGCTCACCCAGCCCCACTCTGCTGGCACGGGACTGGCACGGGACCGGCACCGCCTCCGCCACCCACCTGGATCGGCCCTGCGGCGTGGGAGCCTCCTCGGCACGGATCAGCTGCCACACTGCTTTCTCCTGCGCTCTTTCCAAGGGCGTCCCAATGGTGTCCCAGTGTCCCCACTCCTCCTGCTCCCCAGCCACGTCCTCCCTGTGTCCCCGTGGGACGGCGGCTGGCGGGCGCTGGAGCAGCTCCGCGTGCCGCGGCTGCTGCTGAGTCAGCGCCGGGCGAGGACGCCCTCCGAGGCAGCTCAGCGCTCACACGGGATCGAAACCACGGGGCATTCCCCCACGCCAGGCTGCGTCACGCAGCGTGACGGTGCCTGGTGACGTTCCAAGTGCCGGTTCAGCCCGCGGTGCCGGCTGGGCAGCCTGGATGCACTCGTGGCCCGAGGTGCTCACACGGGCAAAGCCAAAACCCTTCTGAACGTCGCTGCCCACTGTGGGCAGAGGATCCTGGTGCTGTGTCAGGGCTTGAGGGAGACAGGGAAATTCCCAGCCCTCCTGTGGGCACCTGAGTCCCCACGTGTCACTGGCACGGCCAGCGGGCAGGGCCTGCTCTGATGTGGAAAACTCACCTTATTTCCCCATGCACCTGGCAGCAAAAATTCCAAAGTGTAGGAAAATAATCTGGTGAGCACACTCGAGTAGAGTCACCAAACCCACAGCCACCTGAACCCCTAGGCCTGACTCCAGCTCCAGGCTGGCTCCTGCTCCATGGTACCGGAGTCAGCTCTGCATGGAGGGAATGAGCACTTGGCCCATGCCATGGAGCTCAGTTACAGCCCTGCATTGTTCAAACTGCTCCTGGAGCAACACAAGGAGACGGTGAAGGGAGAAGAGCCAAGGGAAGCACACAGTAAACAGCTGTCTGGGAGCCAGAGGGCTACCCTGGGCTCAGATCTGCACAACGGGCTCGGCTGGAAAATCCCTGCCCGGTCGGTAGGCGAGGGCAGAGCCCTCGGGCTGCATCCCCCCACGGCTGCCGAGGCTGCACGGGTGCAGGCAGGAGGCAGTGGGAGCTGCCCGGGCACGTCTGGCCTGTCGGAGCAGGGCGTTGGGGCCAGGCAGCGCCCCGTGCCTCGCCCTCCCCGGGAGCATCCCGGGACATGCTCTGGGAGGGCAGCCTTCTGCAGGAATGCTTCCCCAGCACCTGGTGCAGCTCCTCCCCTGCTGCTCCAGGGACACGGGTATGGTGTTTGGAAACAGAGGCACTGGCACTGCCTTTGCTCTCACCTCCCACAGACATTCCTGGTGCCACTCTCAGGACCTCCTGAAAGGTAAGTGCAGCTGCAGATGAGCAAAAACACACTTAGAGGCCAATTCTCCCCTGGAAGTGCAGGGTGGAGGCGGCTGCAGGTGCCTGGTAGCACCCACTGGGGCTCAGTGCAGTGTGGGCAGCCCCATGCAGAGGCACCCCAAAGATTTGGGAGCCCCCAGCCCTTTCATCTTGGTAGCTGCTAATTCCCGGTGTTTTATTTCATCCCCTTGCCATGTCCTGACCCAGGGCAAACCACTGTCTGCTCCTGCCTCAGTTTCCCCAGCGAGAGCTCTGCAGAGCCGCTCTAGAAGGGGCACGGGGACGCGATGGGGAGGCTCCTGCTGTGCCCAGCATCGCCCCGCTCCCCGTGGGCAGAGGGAAGGATGCTGCCTGCACCCGGATCTCCCCATTTGGTCTCTGCTCAGGGAGCCAGGAGCCGGGGAGGTGACAGATGGGGACATGCCGGGCACGAGGCCTTTGTCTGGCCGGTGGCGGCGGCACGGACCCGCAGATGGCGGCTGCCGTGGGGCCGTGGCCGCAGCCCGTGGCCAGGCGAGCGCTGGGCCCAGGGGATCCGGCCCCTTTTGTTGGGGTCTCACCTCTGGCAGCGGCCCCTTCCCGGCTGCCCCCCACCAGCCTTTCAACTTTCAACTTGACCTGCTCCTTTCACATGGAAATGAGATGCAAATGGCGCTGGGGCTGCCGGGGTCCAGCGGTTGTAACCTGCCAGCAGGTCCCCAAGTCTGCGGGGTCATACCCACTCAAATGGGGTGGCCAGTGGTCTCTGGGGCAAAAGGGTCGCCCTTGTCCCCCAGCAGTGGAGCAGCAGCCCCTCCCTGCCCAGGCAGACCGTCTCCACTGCTCCCAGATGCAAGCAGATATTAGCGGGTGAGTCCAGCCGGGGCTGAGCTTCAGGACTGACCCTTGCTCTCCCGGCCTGCCGAGATCCTCCCGTGCCCTCCCACCATCCGGACACCCCCATGGCACGGGCAGCGTGCCCAGCCTGGGGAGTCCCCGCTGCACCCCCTGCCCTGCACTGGCTGCAGCTGGGATGGGGTGCCCAGTCCTGGCTGGTGAGGAGGGGGCTTTCCAGGGGGATGGTCACCACAGCCCAGCAAAGGCCCGCAGGCAGGGACCACTCGGCTACCAAATGTTGCCATCTGCCTCCGGGGCCTTCACTCGCATCTGCCGGGGGTGTGGACGGGTGAGGGGCTGGGGGGACGGGGGCTCAGCTGCGGGGCGGGCAGGGGGCGGAGGAGGCACGGGCAGGGGGCGGAGGAGGCACAGGCAGGGCAGGCAGCACGTGTCGGGTGGATTTGGGTGAGGAGCGTGAAGGGGCAGCGTGGGGGTCCCA